TTTTTGTAACGAACACCGGATTTCCCGGCGACCATTAATACATTAAATAGTAATGGAATGTGCCGAGAGGTTGGATTTTGGTGGTCAGAGGCCCCTGTTCCTCCGCAGGGCAGATTTACAGATCCTGCTCCAAGTCAAAGGAGATTAATCAAGAACGACAGATGTTTATAACGCGATGCGCTATAAATGAGGTCACAAGAGTTGAGGAGAGAAATGGATTTGAATGTCAACAGGGTGAGTGAGAGAGAAGACAGAAGTGACAGAGAGAGAGGAATTGGTTTTGAGTGCAACTGGAGAGTAAGTCCGAAAGAGAGAGAGGAGGAGGAGGAGAAGGAGAGAGAGAAAGGAAAAAAGGATAAAGAGAGGAAATAGAAAAAAGAAAAGGGGAGGAGTGAAGGATAAAAAGAGAAAATGGTGTGGGGGAAAATAGAGAGAATAAGGAAGGGAAAGAAAGAAAGAAAAGGGAAAAGAAAGAAAGAAAGATAAGAATAGGAGAGACAGTAAGGAGAAAATGGATGATAAAGAAAGCGAGTTTGGCAAGGAAGATTTAGGATAAGAATAAAGAAGAGAGAAAAAAAAGAAAGAAAAATGGAAAAAAAGAAAGAGAAAAGAAAGAAAGAAAGAAAGAAAGAAAGAAAGAGATAGAGACGGAGAGAGGGAGAGGTAGAAGCGAGATAGAGAGTGAGTGATAAAGAAAGCTAGTTTGTGAAAGATTAAAGAGGAAGTTAAAGAATAAAGCGTGAGTGAGTGAAAATAGTGGGAGAGAAAGAGAGAGTAAGAAAGAGAAAATGGATGAGAAACGGTGGGCAGGAAGATTTAGAGAGAATAAGAAAGAAAGAAATAAGAAAGGGATAGATAGATGCATAGAAGAGAGAGAGAGAGAGGTAGAAGCGAGACAGAGTGAGTGATAAAGAAAGCGAGTTTACTGAAAGATTAAAGAGAAAGATAAAGAATAAACCGTGAGTGAGTGAAGATAGATTGAGTTGAGTTTAAAACCCGATTTATATTTTCATTTTTTTGATTTTGTTATCTTTTTCTGTAACGATGGAGCAATGGATAGCGTCTCAGATGGAAGAACTGGAGAACCGAGTTCGAATTCCAGTCGAATCCTTTACATTCACTTACGTGATAATACCCTTGGGAAATGTATGAATCCTCTTCTTCTCCCCCACCCCCAGCTATGGGTGAATAGCAGGACAGACTGGGTTCTATAGCCTTGAATGGCAACTGGTCTAGAAGAAGGACAACTTCGATTTCAAAACCTGCAGAAGGTTGTTTAGGGACATTGTGCACCAAATAAATTTTTGAATGAAACGATTTCTTTTTAAATTTATTTATAAAATGGTAAATAATAAATCTTTATAAAAGGTAAATAAGTATCGTATTGTACTTGTAAATAGCAGGACAGATCGGAAAAAAATCTGCCTCGTCAGTCATGTATCGAAAGATATATGATCGTCTAGGCGAGTATCACGCATGGCACATAACTGACTGACATATTTTATACTTACATATTTCTACTTATTATATTTATACTTACATATGCAATTTATACTATTATATGCAAATTTTAAATGCATTATATATATTTATACTTATATATGCAATTTGATACCAATAAACTATAAATACTGTAATTATATAATACAATAATGTATTATTACTATATACTATAAATACTAATATATGCAATTTATATATTTATACTTATATATACTTTTATAGTCATTATATTTATACTTAATTTATACTTATATATGCTATACTTATATATTTATATCTCTATCTATAAAAGGCTGGATGTGTGTGTGTGTGTGTGTGTGTGTGTGTGTGTAACGAATGCACGGCCGCAATTTTTCGACAGATTTACACAAAATTTACATGCACATGCTCCAATTTAGCGGGAAGGCCAAGACTGACTTTGCATTTCCCAACTCCCATCGATAGTGGAAATAATCGATTTTTGGTATAGAGCTTAGAAAAAATTCGCAGTGTGAGATAGGCAAGAAGTAAAGCATGTAGCACGGCAAAGGGCTCTCCTTTAAAGGCAATGAAGGGCAAGCATATTTTAAGTCAAGTGATAGCGATTGTTGTATGTGTCGTACGATTTTTGAATCAAGCACGGGCCTCGCCGGGTCATGCTGCTAGTATTTTATATATATATATCTAAAAACCGTTAATTACTTTTGGAGCTCCTAAATCACGTAATGTATATAAATGTTTGTATACGTATATTATGTTACAAAGGTTGTTATTGCCGGTGTGTGATACCGGGGACAAGTGCCGACAAGCTTCCGTGTCAAATAACTTCCGAAAACACCGTCCAGCTCCAAGAAGGGAGTAGACGAAAATCTGACTTTTTTGTGCGATAAATGGTGTCAATATAGCTAAATGTTTAATCTGAAAACCTGTTAAAAAAAACAATTAGTTTCTTTTTTTTTATATTAAAGATTTTGTGGGATGCGCTATTATGCTGTTACATGATTTGGACAGTTTTGCTCTTACACCAAGTATATATGTTTCTCAAACAAATGGAAAAACGGAAGTGACGTTTCACGTATGGCTTGCTTACAAGCACAATTGTTAATAACAATTTTTGGTTCTCACCAGTCGAGGTGCAATTGAAATGCACCGAAACGAAGTGGCATCTTTGTAGTGAGTAAGCTGTTTTTGCCTATATGATAAAATTATAATAAAAAATTATCTCTCTACTATCAGTATCGAGGTCTCTTTTGTATTAATGCTGTGAACGTTAGAATTTATATATTACTTTCGCTCTCATTGTATCGGATATATATATATTAAAGATAAGAGAGGTGTCGCAAACGTTTTTGGTTGTAATGTGGATTTATTTAGAAATAAATGTGTGTTGGTAATCCGAATTTCTTTCTTGAATTCAAGAAAGAAATTCGGATTACCAACACACAAACAGAAAATGTCTCATATCGAGAATATTTAACATTGAACATAAGGAAAAAAATTAATTATTTTTAATAATATGTGGAAATCTCCGCTTTTACCTGGAGACGGTCGCGAGACCAGAAACACGTGTCGTAAAATTATGTAAAACACAGCATAATATTTTTTTCTAAATAAATCCACATTACAACCAAAAACGTTTGCGGCACCTCTCTTCTCTTCTGTTTAATATACATACTTTTCTCTCGTTGGAACCACTACAACATATTTCTTTTATATATATATATATATATATATATATATATATATATATATATATATATATATATATATATATATATATATATATATATATATATATTGTTAACGATTAATTGCCTTGGATTTTGTCAGCTTATTTTGAGCATGCTAATATTGGGCGAAATATTGACACTGAAATATAAGGACACATGGCACAGTAGATAGAGGCGTTAGTTAGATCCAGTGACAGGAGTCAAAAGTGTGAGTTCAATACCCGGTTAAGGCAGTGGAGAACTTGCAGAGGTGAATTAACAGGAGATAACTGACATCCATTAGATGTGGAACTAGAACAGTCTACCCCAGTGAGCAAAATAAAGGGTTCAGTTCGACATTCCAACCACCTGAAGAAGGCCGGAGCGTACAACGGCCGAAACGTTGTAATAAATACAGCGACAAAGATGAGGACAATAGTCCGAATAATGTAAATAGTGTACATAATAACTCATCTCAGAAATATAGACAGATACAAACGAAATATAAATTTTAAATATACAACTTATTTTCGCAAATATATTCCGATATACAAACAATTTTTTTTTACTAGAGCTATTTCAAGAAGTTAAGATTGTAGTGTTCAGGTAAGCATCCTCGCAGAGGTTTATTCCACTAATATTTAGAAAGTTGAGATGTTTGAGTTTCCAGCATTGAAATAGTCTAGCATTAAAAGGGGCATAATTTCTGCCATTCCCAAAATTTATGTTTCATTTGATACCCGTGTATTTCAGGGATTACGGATAGTTGCTAAAAAAACAAACTGTACACTTTGCTAACGCCTGCCTAACTTCTTCTATCTGCTGCGTCACTACATAGGTGATCATCACTCTCCACAACTTCCTATCTCAGCTTTTTTCTTCCTTTGTTAAGGCTCTCGCCTCTCGTTCCCCCATCCGTTCGCATGGGCTCGTCAGGTAAGACGCTCGCTGCAATTTTCTTGACGTAAATTGATATGCTGTCTACTGTGAATTTGTATTGGTTATTGCTCTCAAAATCTAAACACGTTGCGCAAACACATGAATAAGCGCACCTAGAGTAATTCGCGCCAATTTAGACGGATATTCTCTCAATAAGTTATGATAAAATTAGTTAGGCGAGAAGAATACGAAGGTGGCAAGACGAACGCCTAGAAAAGGTTTAATTGCAATGAAAGAGGTCAAAAGGCGTATGCCAGAAAATGGTTTTCTTAGTGGTGAAGTGACACTGCAGTTAAATAAGAAAGAAAGAAAGAAAGAAAGAAAGAAAGAAAAGTAGAAAGAATGGTACGAAGAAAGAGAAATGAATAAAAATGGTTGACGAAAGAAAGAAGGAGAGAAAAGAAAAAAATAAAGACTGAAAAATAAGGAAGAAAGGAAAAGAAAAAAGAAAAAAGAAAAAGAAAATGAAAACGACGACAAAAAGAAGAAAGGGATAACAGTAATAGATAGATAGATAGATAGATAGATAGATAGATAGATAGATAGATAGATAGATAGATAGATATGAACAGACTGAGATAGATAGATAGATAGATAAATAGATAGATTAGATAGATAGATAGATAGATATGAACAGACTGAGATAGATAGATAGATAGATAGATAGATAGATAGATAGATATAGATATAGAGAGAAATGAGCAGTCTGAGATACATAGAAATGATTTAAGTTAAATAGATAGATAGATAGATAGATAGATAGATAGATAGATAGATAGATAGATAGATAGATAATGAATAGACTTAGATAATGAAGAGCCTTAGATAGATAGATAGATATAATATAAACTCATAGCGAGAAAGAAAGAAAGAAAGAAAGAAAGAAAGAAAGAAAATACACAAAATGTTCGAAGAAATGAGGAAAGAGAAGACAGGAACAGAATAAAGGTAGGGAAATAAAAATTAAAAACAGATAAATAAAGATAGATAGATAGATAGATAGATAGATAGATAGATAGATAGATAGATAGATAGGAATAATATAGACTGATAGCCAGAAAGGAAGAAAGAAAAAGATAGACAGATAGATAGATATGGACAGACTGAGATAGATATGTAGATAAATATTAGCAAACCGAGATAGATAGATAGATAGATAGATAGATAGATAGATAGATAGATAAAATAATTTACTGATAGCGAGAAAGAAAGAAAGAAAAAGATAGATAGATAAAATATTTATGAATAGATTGATCGCAAGAAAAAAGACATAATAGAAAGGACGAAAAAAAGGGAGAAAAGATGGAAGAAAAAAGCGAATAAATAAAGAAACGAAATTAAAAAAATGAAGAAAGGCAGAAAGATAAACAGGAGGGGGTGAAGAAGGAAGAGAAAAAGAAAAAGCAGAAAAGAGAAAAGAAGAGAGTAAACGAAAGCAAGCGACAATAAAGAAAAAAAAAGAAAGAAAGCAAGACGTGAATAAAGAAAGAAACCAATTGAAACCGACAAGGAAGAAAGTAAAAAGCAGAGAAAAAAAGAAAAAAGAAGAAAAAGGGAACGAAAGCAAGCGACAATAAAGAAATAAAGAATTAAAGAAAGAAAAAAAACCAATTGAAACCGACAAGGAAGAAAGTAAAAAGCAGAGAAAAAGAAATCAAAGGAAAAAAAATGGAAGGGCCATCATTTGTTTTTCGTATCGAACGAAAATTATGTTGCAATGAAATAAGAAAAATTAACATGGAAGCCTAACAACAAAGAAAACAAAAGAAAAGAAAGATGGCTGCAAGAAGCAATAACACGATGCATAGCTGAAATGCAAAGTATAAATTAATTAATGTGTGAATTTCTGGGATGAGGAATTATCATGGTTAACATTCGGACTAATATCTTCATTTTTTGCTAATTTCCCGCTCCGGCTATTTTCAATTGTCTGTCAATACAAGTTAACTTCGAGAATTTCGATTTAAGCCTTAATTTAATTTCAGATTGTCCTTATTCCGCTATCAATGTCTATGGCTACCGTGTCTTATTCTCATTTAGCATTGCCCAGTTTTGCACACTTTGTTTACACTCACTCGCTAAGTCGCTACTAACCCGTCTGGTTTTTTATTTGTTTACTAGCCGAAATACCCGCGCTTTGCTGCGTGTCACACATTTTTTGTAAGAAAATGATGACTGATTTTAAATTATTATTATAATTTGTGAAGAAAAATGATGCATTTCAATATTACTCACTGATCTTGCCGATGTGACCTCCATCTTCTGACTTTCTTCTATATTTTGGATAGAAGGCATTCTCTTGTTCAAATTTAAATCAAAGGAAACAAAATTTCAGTGTGTGTGTGTGTGTGTGTGTGTGTGTGTGTGTGTGTGTGTGTGTGTGTGTGTGCAACAACAGCTTGATCTCTCCCCTTTGATATGGATCAATACTTGATTGAATGAATTGATGAGCAAATTTCAACATTGATATGGCAGTCGAATTTTCGCAACTAATATGTATTGTAAGGCACTACCCACTGATTGATAATTTCTTGCTCAGCTTGACGTCCATATTGACTCATATTGACTTTGCCGATGTGACATCCATCCTCTGGATTTCTCCTTCTCTATTTCGGATAGGAGTCATTCCCTTGTTGAAATTTAAATTTAATTTAAATCAAAGGGGGAAAAAATAAGCTGAGGGTTTGGGACACCGTGGGACCCACTTAGATTAAAATGAAATATACTTATCCAAGTACCCTGAGTAATGTAGATTCAGAATATATATAGTTATGGGAGTTTATCTCCAAAACCGTAAACAAAGTTTGATAACAATCAAATAGACAGACAGAGGCTACAAGTTTATATATAGAGAGACTAGCAGCATGGCCCGGCGTTGCCCGTGCTTGATTCAAAATCGTACGATTCATACAGCAATCGCTATCACTTGTCTTAAAATATTTTTGCCCTTCCTTGCCTTTAAAGGAGTGTCCTTTGCCGTGCTGATGTTGCTATATGCCTTACTTCTTGCCTATCTCACACTGCGAATTTTTTCTAAGCTCTATACTAAACATTAAACCTGTTACGAAAAAATAACTAAACAAAATGAACACAAAACGATCAGCTTTGAAAAAAAAAACTCGTAACTGGAAAAACTGAATGAAAAAAGAATGTTAACAACAAATACTTTTTCACACCCAACCCAGTTCTGCGGAATCAGAATCAACATTGAGTTTAAGCAAGCGAATGAGCCAATTGGAGTAAAGTGCCATGCAGATTTAAATTTTTCCCACTTGTGACGAATGCAGCTATCGATTTTTTTTTGCATGCAAGCATGCTAGTTAACATTCGTGTCAGTCAGCTGTTGGCTCTCACGCTGGCCAATAGAATCTTCCTGACTATTCGTGTCAGCCAGCTATAGGCTCTCACTCTAGCCAGTAGAAAATGGCCGCAAACTACATGAAAACTGCCGTAGAAGCATGAAAAAAATCGATTATTTCCCCTATCGATGGGAGTTGGGAAATGCAAAGTCGGTTTTGGCCTTCCCGCTAACTTGGAGCATGTGCATGTAAACTTTGGTGCAAATCCGTCGAAAATTTCGGCTGTGCATTCGTTACACACACACACACACGCGCACACACACACGCACACACACACACACATATCCTGCCTTTTATAGATAGAGATTTATTTATTACGGTTTATCAACCCTTTGTGGGTTATTTAAAACCGAAGCATATTTTGGATTATAAAAATAATTCTTTTTTTTTACGAGTGAATACTGCATTAACTATTTATATGAGCGATAGCAATGATTTTTCCACATACAATTTCTACTATTTAACTCATAGGTGTGAGGAGAAGATATTGTGTAATGAACAGCGACTCAGAATGAGAAATTGGTGAGTTGAGTTCGAATTCTAGTCGGGCTCGTTACATCCACTTAGACGCAAATACCCTTCGGAATATATGAATCCAACTCTTCTCCCACCATCTATGGGTAAAATCGGAGGATAGTTTGGCTTAAGTAGCCGTGGTTGGCAATCAGTCTAGGAGAAGGAGATCTTTCAAAACCGCAAGAGCCACTCACGCTGCGATAGAGATACTTTAAGCAAGAGTCTTGTTAGGTTTCGACCAAAGTGCTTCATCAAATTCAACACATTGAACAAGAACTGTGCAAAGATTTACGTCACCACTTATGCAACTATTGCATTTTATTGTTGCATATTACATAACGCTTAATGTAGAAAAATGCCATCTTTAAATAAAATCCGTTTATAAGCGTAAATCATAGCGTGTACTGGGATACCGGAAGATGCCTTATAAAACCTAAGCAAAGTATTAAGAAACAGAAAAAAATCATTAGAAAAGAGTACTTAACTGTTACATAATAAAAGCCACCTACTTGGCTCGACACTTTCCTCACAGATGAAGAAGAGACTTGAAGCAACAGAAATGTGATTCTACAGAAGGTCTTTGAGAATAACATGGGCCGAACATGCGAGCGACGACCAAGTCTTAGGCAAAATGGAAACAAAAAGACACTTACACACAACATCGGGAAGAGACAGTTGAAATTTCTAGGGCACATAATGAGGAAAGAGGGCTTGGAAAATTGGATACTCACAGGACAGAGTGAAGGCAAGAGGGACAGAGCATAGCCTACTTAACTAGGTTGAGTAAATGGGTTGTGAAACAAGGTTTAAGAGAGATAAAAGGATAAAAATTATTATGTGCTACAGAGAACAGGAAATTGCGGAGAGCCATGATCGCCAACATCCTGAAGGGACACAGCACATAGAAGAAGAAGAAGATTGTTCACATAGACAACATTCAAATTAAAAGTGGTATAATAGTAATTTTTTGATTGATTTGTTTTTTGAAGGTCTTATCAACCTTTTGCGGGTTATTTAAAGCCAAAAGCTATTTTTAGATCAGAAGAATGTTTTTGGAGATAGAAAATAAGTTGCTAATACAATTCCCATTAATTAACTCATAGCTTGGGGAGAAGAAGGTGGATTCAGTGGTATCTGAGCATAAATGATTATAAAGAACCCGAGTGTAGTTCGAACTCGGCTCTGCGATTTCCAATTCCAAGCCGATATTCATTATACCGCACGAACATCTAAGCTTACTGTACCTTGTATTCCAGAACGGTCACCCTTATAGAAATAAATCTTTTAAAAAAGGATCAATGTTTTTTTTTTCTTTTTCTTTTCTTTTTTTACCAGAAATAAATAAGAAAATATATATTGTAAAGCACTAATCACTGATTGACGATTTCTTGCTCAGCTTGACGTCCAGATTTTCTCATTTTGACCTTGCCGACGTGATCTCCATCTTTTGGATTTCTCCTTCTCTATCTCGGATAGGAGTCATTCCCTTGATCAAATTTAAATCAAAGGGGAAAAAATTAGTTGACGGTTTGTGGCCCCTGTAAATGTATATGGCATTGTAGAAACAGTTGGTTAAAAAAAGGACCAACAGTTGTATTTTGAAGGAAAGACGAGGAATATATACAATGAGGTAGAATCATCGAGTTGGATCGAATAAGATAAAAAAAAAAGGAACGATTTAAATCGTCGGAAATCCGAAAAGTAAACAGAAACGTTTTAAAAACTTCTATATCTGTAGTTTTTTATTCAACAGTGTTAAAATTTAAGGAAGATTTTTTTTTTCTGTTTTTGCTTCTTTTTTTTTCTGCGTGCCATCTTTCTTGTCAAATGTTACACATGTTGAAATAATCTTCACCTAAAAAAAAAATCATCAAAAGAAATAATTACATAAAATAAAAAGTAAATGTTAAAAGCTTATGCCCTAGTTTAGAACCTTCGTGCGTATGGCTTCTGAACCTTGACTTTAATTGATGGTGGATATTGATTTTTTTGTTTTTTTAAACAATCGATCGATTTAATCTATTTTTTTCTAATGCGCCGACAACTATAAAGCAATATAAAGCGATATTAGCGTTTTCGTATAAAGTGCTGTTTTTTTTTTAAATTCGTGTCGTTTCTGTAGAATTGATCAGAGCAACTTTGTGTCAAATATCTTGGTTTCCGAATCAAACAGATGAGACGATTTCAGACGATTCGTAATGCATAGATCAAATGCGCATGCGCAGATTTAGTAAGGCCCGCTTATCACTTTCTCCACTTTCTTGCTTTTTCTCACATCCCGTAATGCTTAGGGTCCTGCATCGGTCGCCTGTTTTAAATTTATTTGCGCGTGTATCAGAATAGATCTAGTTGTTGTCAGTGTTTAATACGGGAGTAAATGCCTTCATGCATGTAATGGCTGGACAGAAAAGGGGGTTATGGCGGAATAGTTTCTGTAATGACCTTAATTGTTAACTCTATTCAGCAACAAGAATAGCATGCTGGTGACTAGCTATCTTATCATGATAACTCACAATATATATATATATATATATATATATATATATATATATATATATACTTATTTATTTAAAAATTATAACATAAATATATTATAAAATCACTACAAAAATAGTCATTTTGTTTCAATATCTCTGGTGTCTTTGTAGTGATTTCATAACATATTTATGTTATAATTTTAAATAAATAATTATATTCGCTCTACTCTGTATTGAGCACTCTTTTAAGAATAGCAATTGTTGGTTATTGGAATTTATTCCATATACACCAATCATATACTTATATATATATATATATATATATATATATATATATATATATATATATATATATATATATATATATATATATATATATATGTATATATATATATATATATATATATATATATATATATATATATATATATATATATATATATATATATGTATATATATATATATATATATATATATATATATATATATATATATATATATATATTAAATGCTCGTATATATATATATATATATATATATATATATATATATATATATATATATATAAATTAAATGCGAATATCACTGTGTCACTGTATCACACGTTTTCAACTTTACTCCTGGAAGCCGTAGCCCAACATATCATACCATTTTGGAACCAGGCCGACTGCGTGAGCAAATTAAAGAAAAAAATCCAGGCCTAATCCTTACTCAGAATCCTGGAATTTTCGATTCCTAAATTTTCATTACTGCGATTATTTTCGGCGATATTTTATGTGATTTTTTTTTTCTGCGACGAATTTTTTGTACGATAACAATTTTTATAACTAGGAAATAAATCTGGGAATTATCGAAATTTAATTGCGAAATCTAGCGAAATTCACCCATGAAATAAAAATAATTGTTTGTATGAAAAGTAAGGACCTACGTACATCAAATTGTCCTCAAATTAAGTGGCGGCAGAAGAATTATTGTTGAACTTTTTAAAGATAAGCTTAAATATTAAGGCAATCCTGAAATGCAGCGATCAATTTTGAGTTCTGTGGTTCATTGTTGCCTATCACATCTACTCCTGCCTATCTATTGCGATAAATGCCTAATTAAGAGCTCTCAACGGGAGCTAATTTAAATGCTGCTCTCGAGGGCGGTTTTAAGTCAGTATATATATATATATATATATATATATATATATATATATATATATATATAAAAAAACGATGGCGCGTGTTCAAATCCTCACAGTATTTAGTATTGTTGGAGTGGACGCTATCATATTTTGTCAAGATTTAGAAACGCTAAGTTTCGTTCAATTTCACAAATCAATCGATAAAATTTGAATAAGCTATTTTGCTTAGAGAAATACTTTGAGAAAAACCTTACCTCGTGGTTTTATGATTTTTAAAATTTTGTCTGACTTCATGGTAAATAATATTTTTTAAAGAATTTTTTTCTTTTTAACACCGAAGAATAAATTCTTAGTATTTCTTACTCTTGAGCATGCAACATACAACTGGCCATGCATAAATTTTTCTTTCTGGAGTCAAATTCCAACTTTTTGAAGCGTTTATACTTTTGATTTGATTATAGTTCTGCTTCTTCTAATCACTACAATGTTAAACTGTCCAAGTCTAGGGTTAACCATTATTCCCCCCACATATATGTCCATTACTCTGTAACCATCTACCAGGAGTGGCTCCCTGGCTTCCACGGTGAACAACATTGTAAATATCAAACTTTAAACAGCCGGAAGAAAGAATTTTCATGCAGACGGCAGCGGTATGTTTCTCAATGGATTCATCAGGCTTGTGTTCTTGCGCCAGACTTAGACAAGCTTGATAAATTATTATCTCGTAGACAGATGCAGTCCACGGGCTAAAAGACGCTTATTAAAACGAAAGGGGAACAAACAGTCGTTCAATGGAGAAAGAAGGAAGAGGAAGAGGAGGAGGAAGAGGAAGAGAAGGAGGTGTGGAGGTTGATGCCATGGTTCGTTGTAATCTGAAAAGAAAATGGCGCATTCAGTGGCCTAATGCGATTGCTTCGAGTGTTTCGCCACGATCCATCATTAAGTAACGCTCTGCACGTCTCTCTATTCGCTCTCATTGTCTGCAGGTTTAAATCTGTTGCAATATTCTCGTGATGGCAGACTGAGAAATCGCCGAGCCTCGATTTTATGTCACGCGACGAAATCTTTTGAGTCCCACAGAATATTTACCTGTGCGGTGTGAGACGAAGGTACGGACACATGCATAAAGAATAACAAATTGCTATATATATATATATATATATATATATATATATATATATATATATGGTGGACTCTCCTGTCATATTCGATGTATGAAGGTCAACCAGCTCAGTTCCTAAGAACCGACAGCCCAGACACCAGCATATATGATTTGATTATAGTGATGAAGACGTTGTGTATAATCAATGACACTTTTTAGGGGCAGAATACAGAGACCTGGTGTATATATATATATATATATATATATATATATATATATATATATATATATATATATTCAATGGCGTCATATAGATATATATATATATATATATATATAGGACTCTCCCGTCGTTTATATATATATATATATATGTATAGATAGATAGATAGATAGATACATTTATATTATATATATATATATATATATATATATATATATATATATATATATATATATAATAAATTAATTGATTTAAATAAGGTTTTTTCTGCTACACAGTTACTCCAAAATCCGCTTAAGGATGAAATGGAACTAATGTCTTTAATTTAATTACAAAATTAAATTCGGGGCTTTTAGCTTCCATTTTTGAAACATGGTTAGAACTGTGGAGCGGAAAAAACCACATTTTAAATCAATTAATTTATAATATTAATGCTCTGTAAAATTACATTGAGCACTATTTCGTAAAAAAAAAAAAATATCTATAAGAACACCGGATTATATATCTTACTGTTCTTTCTTTCTTTATATATATATATATATATATATATATATATATATATATATATATATATATATATATATATATATATATATATATATATATATATATATATATATATATATATATATATATATATATATATATATGGGGACTCTCCTGTCGTATTCGATGTATGAGTGTCAAGCAGCTCAGTTCCTATGAACCGACAGACATATATGATTTGATTATAGTGGTGAAGGTTTTGATGGGCTGAATACAGAGACCTGGTGTATATATATATATATATATATATATATATATATATATATATATATATATATATATATATATATATATATATATATATATATATATATATATATATATATATATATATATATATAGGACTCTCCCGTCAGCAGTTCAGTACAGTGGTGATGGCTTTGTGCATAGCTAAACACACTTTTTGATGGGATGAATACAGGCGATCCTCCGCAGGTTTTGAATTCAGAATTGTTCTTCTCCTAGATCAGTTGCCATCCAATGCTATAGAACCCAGTCTGTCCTGCTATTTACCCATAGCTGAAGAGAGAAGAAGAAGATTAATATTATATATATATATATATGTATTGTGTCAAGGTCACCTCGAGCCGGTGTAATGGTTAGCAAACCTGTCTCGCTAGAATCAATCACGGCTGATTAATGACTTCGATCCTCATTGGATGCCCCTTACTTTCGGCCTTGTGCCACATCTAAGTTACGCTTAGAAAAATCACTATATATATTTCGACATGTTTCATTGAATAATTTTGACAAGTTTTGTCTACTTATTTACAAATGGATCCTTTCATATTCACGGACAAGCTTTTTGGTGCCTTTTATTAAAGGAAAAGGGGAAAAGTACCCTGTTCTTACATATTATTTTATTCTGAGTACTTTCAACATCAGCACAATGTCATCATCAGTGTGTTTTTTTTATATTTCAAGTGAAATATTGAAGCGTTCATCATTTTGAGAGACAAAATTGCTCTGTTCGTTTGAAAGTTTTATTTGTGAATCTAAGAACGCAGAGTTGAGTACTGCGAATTGACTTAACTAACGCTTTAGGGGAGATTATTATGCTATGCTGTTGTAGAGAGTTTTTTTTAAGAAGTAAGTATGAAAACTATTAGTACAATCCTTAGGATTTTAAACTATCTACTGTAAACATTTTAAAACGTTTGGGCAGTATTCATAATTAATTTAAAATATTAGATCGTTTAAATTATCGAGGTTTGTACTAATAATTTTGATATTTATTTCTTTAAAACACTCGACATGTGTATGTGTGTGTCTGTGCGCGTACAGGAGTGTGCATGTGCGTGGGTGTATGCATGAGCCTGCCTGCGCGCGTCTCGTATTTTTTTCTCTTTCTACTCTGTCCTTATTTTTATACTCTCCTTATTGTTGTCTCTTTATACTCTCTCCTTATTTTTGTACTCTCCTAATTATTGTCCCTTTCTACCCCCTCCTTATGTTTGTACTCTCCTAATTGTTGTCTCTTTATACTATTTCCTTATTTTTTTACTCTCCTAATTATTGTCCCTTTATACCCTCTCCTTATTTTTGAACTCTCCTAATTATTGTCCCTTTATACTACCTCCTTATTTTTGTACTCTCCTAATTGTTGTCTCTTTATACACTCTCCTTATTTCTGTACTCTCCTAATTATTGTCCCTTTATACTCTTTCCTTATTTTTGTACTCTCCTAATTATTGTCCCTTTATACTCTTTCCTTATTTTTGTACTCTCCTAATTATTGTCCTTTTATACTCTCTCCTTATTTTTGTACTCTCCTTGTTGTTGTCTCTTTATACACTCTCCTTATTTCCGTACTCTCCTAATTATTGTCCCTTTATACTCTCTCCTTATTTCTGTACTCTCCTAATTAGTGTCCCTTTATACTTTTTCCTTATTTTTGTACTCTCCTTATTGTTGTCCTATTATACTCTCTCCTTATTTTTGTACTCTCCTAATTGTTGTCTCTTTATACTCTCTCCTTATTTTTGTACTCTCCTAATTATTGTCCCTTTCTACCCTCTCCTTATGTTTGTACTCTCCTAAATGTTGTCTCTTTATACTCTTTCCTTATTTTTTTACTCTCCTAATTATTGTCCCTTTATACCCTCGCCTTATTTTTTTACTCTCCTAATTATTGTCCCTTTAATACTCTCTCCTTATTTTTGTACTCTCCTAATTATTGTCCCTTTATACTCTCTCCTTACTTTTGTACTCTCCTAATTATTGTCCCTTTATACTCTTTCCGTATTTTTGTACTCTCCTTGTTGTTGTCTCTTTATACACTCTCCTTATTTCTGTACTCTCCTAATTATTGTCCCTTTATACTCTCTCCTTATTTTTGTACTCTCCTTGTTGTTGTCTCTTTATACACTCTCCTTATTTCTGTACTCTCCTAATTATTGTCCCTTTATACTCTCTCCTTACTTTTGTACTCTCCTAATTATTGTCCCTTTATACTCTCTCCTTATTTTTGTACTCTCCTAATTATTGTCCCTTTATACTCTCTCCTTATTTCTGTACTCTCCTAATTGTTGTCTCTTTATAGTCTTTCCTTATTTCTGTACTCTCCTAATTATTGTCCCTTTATATTCTCTCCTTATTTTTGTACTCTCCTTGTTGTTGTCTCTTTATACACTCTCCTTATTTCTGTACTCTCCTAATTATTGTCCCTTTATACTCTCTGCTTATTTTTGTACTCTCCTTGTTGTTGTCTCTTTATACAATCTCCTTATTTCTGTACTCTCCTAATTATTGTCCCTTTATACTCTCTCCTTACTTTTGTACACTCCTAATTATTGTCCCTTTCTACCCTCTCCTTATGTTTGTACTCTCCTAAATGTTGTCTCTTTATAGTCTTTCCTTATTTTTTTATTCTCCTAATTATTGTCCCTTTATACACCTTCCTTATTTTTGTACTCTCCTTATTGTTGTCCTATTATACTCCCTCCTTATTTTTGTACTCTCCTAATTTTTGTCTCTTTATACTCTTTCCTTATTTTTGTACTCTCCTAATTATTGTCCTTTTATACCCTCTCCTTATTTTTGTACTCTCCTAATTGTTGTTTCTTTATACTTTTTCCTTATTTTTGTACTCTCCTAATTATTGTCCCTTTATACTCTCTCCTTATTTTTGTACTCTCCTTGTTGCTGTCTCTTTATACACTCTCTTTATTTCCGTACTCTCCTAATTATTGTCCCTTTATACCCTCTCCTTATTTTTGTACTCTCCTTGTGGTTGTCTCTTTATACACTCTCCTTATTTCTGTACTCTCCTAATTATTGTCCCTTTATACTCTCTCCTTATTTCTGTACTCTCCTAATTATTGTCCCTTTATACTCTTTCCGTATTTTTGTACTCTCCTTATTGTTGTCCTATTATACTCTCTTCTTATTTTTGTACTCTCTTTATTGTTGTGTCTTTATACTCTCTCCCTTATTTTTGTACTCTACTAATTATTGTCTCTTTATACTCTTTCCTTATTTTTGAAACTCTCCTAATTGTTGTCTCTTTATATTCTTTCCTTATTTTTGTACTCTCCTTATTGTTTTCCTATTATACTCTCTCCTTATTTTTGTACTCTCCTAATTGTTGTCTCTTTATACTCTCTCCTTTTTTTCTACTCTCCTAATTATTGTCTCTTTATACTCTCTTCTTATTTTTGTACTCTCCTAATTATTGTCCCTTTATACCCTCTCCTTATTTTTGTACTCTCCTAATTGTTGTCTCTTTATACTCTTTCCTTATTTTTGAAACTCTCCTAATTGTTGTCTCTTTATACTCTTTCCTTATTTTTGAAACTCTCCTAATTGTTGTCTCTTTATACTCTTTCCTTATTTTTGTACTCTCCTTATTGTTGTCCTATTATATTCTCTTCTTATTTTTGTCTCTTTATACTCTCTCTTCATTGACAACGGTTTCAATTTAAACAGAAGCTAAACACGTCTATTTTTTTCATTGATTTTTTTCACTGAAACCATGTAGCGTCTCTGATGCATTTTTTCCGTTTTTTCACGCGATGTAAAC